GTGTGTGTGTGTGTGTGTGTGTGTGTGTGTGTGTGTGTGGTGACACACTTGTGCTCCTGTATGAGTATTCCTGGAGTCATTTCCTCTCTGCCTATTTCTGAATTATTCTGAGGAAAACAAAGGAATCCAACATTAAGGTACAGCTTTCCCCCTAAAAAAACAAGCTGAGTGTACACAAAAATTAAACAGCCTCATAAATCAAACAAGCATAAATTGGTTTAGGGGGGGAAAAAACGGTTCTTGTGATCAAACCTCTGTAGTTTTCCAGAGGCTGTGGTTCGACCAGGTTCCCGTTACCCGTCGGCTGATGAAAAGAGGCATTTAAAGCAGCTGGCAAACGTTACAGTTTCATAAAAAGCCCTTCAGCATCAAGTCAACTTTTAAACTGGTCTAACTCCTTCCACTCTTTACAGTCTAACATTAATCTGTAACTTTATACACAAACTTTAAAACCAGCAAGATGAGACACGACACAACGGCCCAGAAAGCAATGCTTTTGTAGAGCTCATGAAAGTCCACCTCGTCGACTTCAAAAACGCGTAGTTTGTGTTGGCCGTCGAAGAGGAAACAGACAGGAAGTAGCTGCCACAGGAAGTGCAGGCATGAAGAAGACTGCTCCTCTGGAGACCCCTGGGAACCCAGCTAATGGTCGGCCATGTTTATCTCTGCTGTTCTTTGTTTGAACGAAATGCAAACGTGACATTACCAGCTAATTTTAGTTTATGTGAAGACTTTCATCTTTATTACATGAATCACTTTAACCTGTGATTACAGACTGGGTTATGTGGGCACAACCAAACGTGAAGACAACACTGACCACTCATATAAAACATCTAAATTTCACAATTCCACCTTTGCCACTTAGTAAAATGAACCCAAATCTGGTGTCATGTGATCTATGGGTGGCTTTGTCTCAATAAGCTAAAACTTGTAGTTTTTTTTTTTTTTTTTGTGAAATCTCTAGAACAGGAATGACATTACTTTTCAGACAAGTGTTGTTGATGAAAGACAAAGAGGATCTTGACAAAACCGAGGAATATGAGCAAATTCGATATGGTTATAAAAGACTGATGGAAGCAGAAACTAATATAAACACAGAGGTGACACATTAGATGTTGAAACACAATAATGTTTGCTCATGATAGAAGGAAACATGCACGCAGGTGCCAGCACAATAAAAAGCAAGCAAAAGATAAGAATATTTCTCAAATACAGACAAAAAATACCTGTAACATGCACAAAAACAAGATGGCAGCGTAACTCAGTGTTATTCAAGTCATCTGTTGAAAATTCCTGTATTTTTTCATTTGCGATCCATCGCAGRGTTAAACTATATCATGTAAATTATTCCCAATATCGTGCAGCCCTACGTTTTTGAACTCAGTTCTTTTAGGATGACAACATGTTGCACGAACTCTGGTGAGATTAGGTTTTTGACGTTTGGGAGAGTTGAGAGAGTTTCATGAGCTGCTGGTTGAGTTTTATAAAATATAGAATGGAAGATCTTGGAGGTACCAGGAACAGCAGGAAAAATGTTGTATTTGTGTTTCATTGGGAGGAAACATAGGAGGAGGTTAACATTACAGACTAATGTGTTTTAAACAACCTTATTAGACTTTCTGTACAAGAAGAATTGCAGAGTAAATGATAGGCTTTGGTTCACATTAAGAACTGATGGTGTAACCATGAACACCACACAGAGGGCCTCATTCTATCCTGAACACTGAGCAGAGTTTTTATCTACATTATCAAACAAGAGAGTTCACTTGTGTTATTTTGGTCTCAATTGTTGCCAGGCGACAATCATAAATACCACAATGCATTGTGATCTTCATTCCACTCAACAATAATTCCAGCTTTAAAACAGGAGTATAAAATGTATGTATGTTTTTTCTGCCATCATCAGGGCCTTGGAGGCTCAAACTTATCCCAGCCTTCAATAAGCAAGAAGCACGGTACGGTTGTTGATTTTACCCATCATTGCATCAATATGAACCTGAGCGCACCTAAGTGATTTACCAGGTATGATTTTCCACAAATTCATTAAGATCCAGCTTTAAAGGAACCACAGATTCCTACCACAGATTTTAACCTGCATACGCCAGAAGAAAAGTACAAAACACAACACCAAGCATCTCATCTTACAGCATTCGGCCTGTTAGGTTTGGGATCTGCTCCTTTGGTCTACTGAGACCATCTCATCCTAGTTTTGCATCGCTTTCGTCAGCTATAGACTTGTATCTTTGATTGGGATCACACAAGGAATCTCGCTGCTGCCACCAAACTGTCTTGGCAAAAAAAAGAAGAAAAAAAGGGGAAAGGAAGACCCACCTAATCACTGTTACAAAAGAAATGGCAGAAAATCCCATGGATTGATCGAACTTTATTATAAGGCTACGTCCATGCAAACAAAAGTGAAACAAATCCAATTATTTTGCCCATGAACGACCCATATTGAATTATTTTATGACAGTCTAAACATGACGTGCCTTTATTTCTAAAACCTGACTCTTTTTTTAAATAAATGTGGTAGGATTCTTATCCAATGTTTTTCAAAGCGACTTATATTAACCAGGCAAATCCCACTGAGATCAGACTTCTTTTTAAAGAGAGGCCTGGGACTGAATGCAGACTTAACACGTWTGTTTTCCTGGATGTCTTTTTTTTCCTCTGTTGATTTTCATGTCTTCATTGCTTTATCAAAAGCCACAGGAATACCTAAAGTTTTGTTTAACGTAAAGGTGTGACAAAGCATCAGTTCARTTTTTTTCTGAGAATTGTTCCTGACATGTGAATTGTCCTCAGCATGTTGTGTGTAGAATATATATAAAAATACAGCTTTTCTATTGAAAACAGCTGACTCTCTACATTTATCTCTTTGACTACATTTAAAGTAGTCAAAGAGATTCAGATATTTTATATAAAGTTTCCAGACTCAATGATAAAGCTAATATTAACATTTAAGAGCACCAGCTGGTACTGAGAGGACAGAGAAAACTAGGATTAATGACTTATTGTAGTGATGCAAGAGTTCAGGCCAGACCTGGACAGTCTCAAACATGTAAGGTCTCCATATGAACAACAGCTCAGATTACTGATTTACAATCCAGTGACAGACTGTGATTTGAGGGACTTGCAGTTTCTCCAGACCACCATCATGACTGATTAAATAATTCACATTACGTCATGACAACGCATTGATCTATATCCATTTAAATTGAAATGGACCCTCCAACTATTGTTGTGCGCCCCTTGCACCCGCGCGACACGTCAACTATAAACCTAGCTTAACACCACCCCATACCATCAGAGAGGCTGGTTTTTGAACTTTGCGCTGATAACAATCTGGACAGTTATTTTACTCTTCGGCCCGGAACAAATGACGTCTATGATTTCCATAAAACAATTTGACATGTGGACTTGTCAGACCACATTCTCTATTTCTCTGGATCTTTTGGTGATATTATTGACTGTAGATGGTAAAACCCCTAAATTCCTTGCCACTGTACATTGAGAAACCCAGTGGTGAGCACAGTTCCCCTAAAGCACTAATAGGGGAATTAATTTCTTGATTAGTGCTTTAGGATTTATGCTATCTTTTTTTWAAATTTCTTAGTGGATTAGCACTTGTTAAATTTATGGGCTAAATTTAAAAGCACTAACTGAGGTCTTTAAATGTTATTGATCAACATGATTGTTCACAGTTGAGGGTGAAAGCTGTCACATTTTGCTCATATGCGTGTCATTTACAGCAGGTAAAATAAGTATTGAACACGTCAACATTTTTCTCAGTAAATATATTACTAGAGGTGCTAATGACATGAGATTTCACCAGATGTCGGTAACAACCCAAGTGATCCRTACATACAAAGAAATCAAACCATAAATGTCCAGAAATGCAGTTATTTGTAATAATGTGGAATGGCACWGGGAAAAAGTATTGAACACATGAAGAAAGGGAGGTATAAAAAGGCATGGAAAGCCAAGACACCAGCTGAACTCTCTCAGTRATTAGAAAGCAAGCCTGCCCCTTGTCAGTGCAAGTTAATATCAGCTGGTTCAGTCCCAAATGATGGCCAGGTATCACACAAGAACCATCTGATGATGAGTAAAAGTAAAGAGCTCTCTCAAGACCTTCACAACCTTATTGTTGCAAAGCATAATGATGGCATCAGTTACAGAAGAATGTCTAAACTTCTGAAGGTTCCAGTGAGCACTGTTGGGGCCATAATTCAGAAGTGGAAAGAACATCATTTCACCATAAACCGACCACGACCAGGTGCTCCTCACAAGATTTCTGACAGAGGAGTGAAAAGAATTATCAGAAGAGTTGTCCAAGAGCCAAGGACCACTTGTGGAGAGCTTCAGAAAGACCTGGAATTAGCAGGTACGATTGTTTCAAAGAAAACAATAAGTAATGCACTGAACCACCATGGCCTGTATGCACGCTCACCACGCAAGACTCCACTGCTGAAGAAACAGCATGTTGAAGCTCCTTTAAAGTTTGCTGCACAACATTTAGACAAGCCTGTGTAATACTGGGAGAATATAGTCTGGTCAGATGAGACCAACATTGAACTGTTTGGATGCCAGAATACACATCATGTTTGGAGGTCAAATGGCACTGCACATCAGCCCAAAAACACCATACCAACAGTGAAGTTTGGAGGTGGGAACATCATGGTGTGGGGCTGTTTTTCAGCATATGGTACTGGCAAACTTCAAATAATTGAAGGAAGGATGAGTGGAAAAATGTACAGAGACATTCTTGATAAAAAATCTGCTTCCATCTACCAGGATGATGAAGATGAAACGTGGCTGGACATTTCAGCAAGACAATGAGCCCAAACAYAAAGTCAAGGAAACTCTCAGTTGGTTTCAGAGAAAGAAACTAAAGCTGCTGGAATGGCCCAGCCAATCACCTGACCTGAATCCAACAGAAAATCTATGGAAAGAACTAAAGATCAGAGTTCATAGAAGAGGTCCACGAAACCTTCAAGATTTGAAGACTGTTTGTGGAAGAATGGGCCAAAATCACACCTGAGCAATGCATGCCACTAGTTTCTCCATACAGGAGGTGTCTTGAAGCTGTCATTGACAACAAAGGCTTTTGTACAAAGTATTAGATAAATTTCAGTAAATGTGTTCAATACTTTTTCCCTGTGCCATTCCACATTRTTACAAATAACTTCATTTCTGGACATTTATGGTTTGATTTCTTTGTATGTAYGGATCACTTGGGTTGTTACCAACATCTGGTGAAAATTTCATGTCATTAGCACCTCTAGTAATATATTTACTGAGAAAAATGTTGATGTGTTCAATTCTTATTTTACCCACTGTATCTACAAGGTCACATGTCAAACTGAAGGCCCACGGGCCAAATGTGGCCTGTGGGTGACTCCCATTTGGCCCGCCAAGGACACTATGTGATGATATTCTGCAACTAATATTTAGATTAGTGCTGCCTACCACTGACTGCTGGACTATTTACTCATGCAGTTGTTTACAAAGTGGTGAACCTCGCCTCAACCTTGCTTGAGAACGACTGAGCCTTTCGAGGATGCTCTCTTTAAATCTAATCGCAACACTCACCTGTTCCCAGTTAATCTATTCACCTTTAGAATGATCCAAACAGGTGTTTTTATTATTATTTTTTTAACATTCCTCAACTTTCCCAGTCTTTTGTTGCCCCAGTCCCAGCTTTTTTTGGAACGTGTTGCAGTCATCAAATTCAAAATGAGTGTATATTTATAAAAAACAAACAAACAATAAAGTTTATTTGCTTGAGCATTATATATTGTCTTTGTAGTGTATTCAATTCAAGAAAGGTTGAAAAAGATTTGCAATCATATTCTGTTTTCATTTATGTTTTAAACTATATAAAAATTCATAGGGTTTGGGGTTATAGTTAGAACCTGAATGTGAGGAAAATAGAGGACACAGAAGTGTTTATTCTTAGCTTTGCTTTGACATTTTTGTAATACGAAACTCTGAAATTACTTTTTTAARCTGTTCTTTCATTGTGAAACATCGCGTCTAATTGCTGCTAAATAAGACCGTGCATAAATTAATTTTGTTTACTATGGAAAAATCAGGTGCGTTGTAAAAATCCCACAACCTTTGAGCCAATGGGAGAAAACCACTGCACCCAAACACCCGGTCCCATCCAGACCAGAGAAGGCTCTATGGACTTGGCTTGTGAACTGGGCCACAGTTCTGTTGGCCGTGCTGGGAGCTGAAACTGTGTCATTGAAGGGCTGGGACTAAAACAAAGAGAGCAGCGGCATACGGCAACAAAACATGCTGCTAAAAACTCAACCTCTTAGGTGAAACTCAAATGTCTGGCTCAGATTTAGACAAATGTTTAAGTCTTTCTGGCACCAGACTCACAGACCAGAATTAATCTTAATTATTTTTACAGAATATTAGGTGGTTATTTTTGTAAACAGATTGAACATGTCAAACATCTCTTTTTATGTACATTCTTGTCTTTAATTACACCTGTTTGTGGATTCTTTAACAATAATAATAATAATAAAYGTCTTCGTGTACACATTTAATACATTTTTGTGTTTATAAATTGAATTTTAGTCCTTTTAAACCTTGATTCTTAACAACCAGGTTTAGCTGTAAGAGCAGGGGTTGTTGCATGTGTTGATCCAGTAAAGGAGATGTTCTCAGTTACATAAGGTTTGGCCTGAAGAATTAGCAGCAGGTAAGCACAAAGTTAAAGCACATGACAGGATGAAGTGACAGTGAAAAACAACGTGAGGCCTAGTCTACAAAGTCAACTCTTGAAGGACCCCCCCCCCCCCCCCTGCACAAGGAGCGCTGGATGCCACCTTTATTATCTATCATGTTTGGCTGGTGATCTGAGCCACCTACCCGAGCCGAAAGCCTTGGCCACCAGCCACGTCAGGCTGCAGGAGATCTTGGCCCTGGTGAAGTCGTAGTGGTCGAAGCTCCTGATGGCAGGGACGATGAAGGTTTGCCTCATCCCTCTGTCATCTGCCGCATCTCCCATCGTCCCTGTGTGTGTGTGTGTGTGTGTGGTGTGTATATATGTGTGTGTGTGTGTGTGTGTGTGTGTGTGTGCTGCTGGAGGCTCGCTCAGCCAGAGCAGCTCCTCCTGAATGCGGATGACATCGCGTCCAGAGGAATTCCGGGCAGTTAAAGAAGAAAAAAAAGGAAAAAGAAAAAGTAAAGAGAACAAAATTCTGCTAAAATAACAACAACACCAAAAATAAATAATAAATAAATGGCTCAAACTTTGGCTGGTGTTTGAAGCCTCCCGTTAAATGAGCACCATCTTCAGTTTTATGTCCTTCTGTTTCAGCAAGGCGCAGTTTTTTTTTTTTTTCTTAGAGATTTCCTCTATTCCCGGACATTTYCCCCCTCAGGCTGCCCGACATAACAGAGCAGCTGTGCGACACAGGAGGAAAGCTACAGTCCAGCACCGGAGGAAGGTCCCACGGTCAAAATAAACGAGCTGTTCGGCTCCATGTTCTGCTTTTTCCTCCTTCTCCTCACTGTTTTCCTCTCCGCTCCTCTGCGATTTTCTTGCCGCACTGATCGGAGGATGGAGCGCASTGCGCATGCGCGGTCCACCCACCGCAGCCTTTTTGAATCCTTGACAGGAGTGACCCAGAACCAGGCTCTGAGGTGGGTTCAGGCTCAGCAAATCACAGGAACAGCTCATCTGGCGTGTGACTCTACCTAAAATACTCCCAAAACTTTGTAGTAATGTTGTATGCGTCCTGACAACTATTTAAAACGTGTGTTGCGTTTATTTATAGTAGGTTCATCAATTTATTTTGTAGGTTAATATATACTAGAGAAACTGCATTTTCACAGTGCGTTGAGTGACCTCTGACATTAGCTGAAGAAGCCGAAACTCAGTTGTTAAGCTAAAAAAAAAAAAGTAAAACACAAAGTTAAAGAAAACAAAATGCTAGCTAAAGTCCTAAAGTAGCAAAAAGCAAGTGAAAGGTAGCACAAGCATTGTCAGAAGCTAAATGTAAAACTTACCCATGCCAAAAAGTATCAAAAACCTAGCTAAAATCCATGTAGCAAAAGCCTAGCTAAAAGCTAAACATAGAAAAATGCTAGTTTAAAGCTAAATATTTGCTATAATATAGCAAATATCTAGCTAAAATGCAAAAAGTATACTGAAGTAGCAAAAGGCTAGCTTAAAAGTAAATTTAGCAAGACTAGCAAAAAGGTAAAAGTAACTAATAGTAAAAGGCAAGATAGAAGCTAAAAAACACTACTTAAAAACTAAATGTAGCAATTTTAGCTGTAAAATTATCAAAGCTAAAAAAAGCAAAAAGTAAGCTAAAATTAGTGCAAGCCTAGCTTAAAGGTCAATATAGCAAAAGCCTAGCTAAAAGCTAAAAGTAGCAAAATATAAGATAGCAAGTAGCCAAAGGCTATCTAAAAGCTAAACAAAGAATACTGGTTAAAACTAAAAGTAAAAAGCTGAAAGCTTAAAAAAAGGCTAGCGTAGCTAAAGCCTAGGTAAAACAAAGCTAAATGCAAATTAAAACTAAATGTAGCAAAAGTAGCTAAAAGTAGCAAACATAAGCTAAAAGGTTAGCTAAAAGTAGTGCATGGCTAGTTTAAAGGTCAATGTAGCAAACGTGTAGAAAAGGCTGAAATATAAACATATAAACATCCAAAGGCTCAGGCATSTGTGGTTAAAACAAGGTAGCAGGAAGTTGTGGAAGCTTTGGGGTRTGTGGACCATGTCATCAGCCCCATGTTTTATTTTTAGGAAGATGACTGACATGTCTAAGTTCTGCTAAGAGTTTTCTTTACCCAAACAAATAAAATTACAGAAAAAAACCTTGTCTAATATTTGGTGTGGTAATAGATGACAGTTGTACCCAACACATACTATCAGATCCCACAAGAGTTCACAATATTGCATAAAATCACAAATAGTTTACAAGGTTTGACAAAAATTGCTATTAATCATTACTTTCTTGTTATAAAATGAGCTTATGCAGGCCAGGCCTTCAACTGAAATGTTTTAATTTCAATTGAAATGTTTTAATTTCAAGACACTTGACTAACCCAACTAATATTTTAGAGTCATTCCAGACACATATTTCAATTTCACATCTTATAAAGTATACACATTCAATACAAATATAGTTCTTTAAATTAATTTTGTCAATTAAACCATGGATGAGACAGTCATGATGATCCTGTGCAGAAGCGTGTGGCAGCAGTGCCCCCTGCTGTCCACATGCTGCTCCTACACCTGAGGAAACCTCATGGTGTACTTCATGTTTCAGCCAGTAGATGGSAGTCTTCTACTAAATATAAAGTGAAGCGCCTGATTTTACTTCCTCTCATGTTACTTTTATGTTATATCTTATCACATTTCCCACTCCAAGTAAAAACATTTGCAAAGAACACCACAAAGTTGTCTCAACTTTAACGTTTTAGTCGCTTTTCTTTTTTTTTGTAGAACAAAACCCTGAACCCAGAAATCACAGAAAGTGTATTTTATTTGTTTCTCCTTGTCCGTCTTAAAGTGACCCATCATTATTTGCGTTTCTGCCTGAATCCACTGTCATTGTAGAGTCATTACCGATCATGATGTACTTTGCATTTTGAATATGAATGTTGGGCTGGGGGCCCCACAAAGCCATGCTGTTGGCCCCCTCGTGTTCCAGCATTGCACTGGAGCGGAGGAATTGTTGTTGTTGCAGGTAAAGGCTTAGTCTGTCTGTTTCATGATTTAAATGGTGCAGTCTTTTCACGCTCTGCTCTTTGGCCCAGATCTTTCTCTGTGCTTCGATCTTGGCTGGAGAAAGAGCTTTTTGGAGTTTCTTTGTGAAGTGCCTCTTCTCTTCCAGAAACACCAGAGTTTGCAGGACCCTGGGTATTCCCTGTTTGGGCATGCAGTTGTCCTCAGGCAGCAAAGGGAGCACCGTGTTAAACTTGTGCACATTGTTGATGGAGTTGATGAGGGCCATGTTCGTCTTCACCTCCAGCATTTTGGTGTTAAAGTTGTGGGTGAGCAGCAGGAAGGTGAAGGCCGAGTTGTCGATGGCGTCCTCCACACATTTCAGGGYGCTCTTCCCGGGGATGGCGAAGTCYTCAGAGAAAGTCGCGCCTTCCCTGCCGATGGCTGTTTCGATTTTTTCCTTCATGCGCTCAGCCTGTTCTTCGTCTTCGGGAGCGTGCAGGATAACAAACGCGTAAAAGGTTTCCTCTTCCTCTGCTTCTGTGCCATGAGGGGTTTTTAGAAAAGGGATCTTGGGTAGGAAAAGGTTTTGTGGGGACGGCAGGGTGAACGTCTCAGTGATTGGTTGATTTGRGCTCCCATTCTGGGGGATGTTATCGTGCAGCTTACTGCTCACAGTATGTAATGTTTCCTTTGGTTTTGAGTCTTTGTTTGACTTGAACAAAGACTCGTTGGATCTGGGCTCAGGCGACGGAGGTTTTCCAGGTACACTTTTTGCTTCACGTTCACTTAAAAGAATGCAAGGGTTCGGCGAAGAGTTTCCTGATGCCTCTGAAGCACTCTTGTCCCCTTGAAACAAAACAGTTGAAGGAATACTTATCTCCAGATGAGTTGGATAGGAGGGCTCTGAGGGRCTCTCCTGCAGAGGGCTAGGATGGCAGCAAATGTGTGCTGACTCATCCAGAGACTCTTTTAAGGTCGTCTTTTCCTCATTCAGGCTTGTGTTCGGATCAGGGGAATGTCCAAATTTGAGGTCAGCAAACTGAGGCCCACACACAACTTTAGCTTCCTCTACAAGCTGATGATATTCCAGAGAACTACAGCGGTTCATCTTGAAGCAGTCACTGGAAAGGGCTCTCTTATAAGCTAGGTTTCTTAGAGATACCTCGCACAACCTCTGCTCTGACAAAACTTTAAATATCCGAGCCAGCCATGACAAACACTGTCCGGTCTGCTCTCGGAATTGTCCACAGCGAGCCCCAAAGTCGTCTAATTCACCTCCGTTTGCGCTCCCGGCTTCTACCAGATGTTTTGCGAGAGGGTTGTCCCTCAGCATCTGCAACTTCTCCAGGGCCTGCTTCCCTCTCCGGAGGAGGATGAGACACAGAGCCTGGACCAGACGGTCTTCAGGAGAGTCGCCTAGCTGGAGAACCAAGCTCAAGAGTCGCTCCGATGGAGCCTTCGCCAGAACATCAAAGACGCCTCTCAGTCCCGTGCCCTGATCCTCCTCCCACCCAGCGTGACTCATCCTCAGGTTTTACTTGCCAAGCGACCTTCGGCAGTTCAACGAAAAGTTGGCGTGTGACTTTTCAAAATTTATCTTCGRATCTTCAGAAACTGGAGCTGTTTAGGAGCGGGGACAGTTTCATGGATCTTCATGTTGCTTTAAATTGAAATAGAAACACACGTTAGCAATTATGGCACACCAAGATGCATTTTCAAAGCAAAACTACATTAATAAAATCAAACATTTAGGTTAACTTAGATTTTTACTTGATTTTTTCTTTTATTTTAGTTGTTCACCGACATGCTTGAAAGAGATAACAGACTCAGTCAGTGTTCCAGCTCAAATAAGGAAGTAAGTCATGCTAAAACTTTCAGCTCAGTTTCACTTTGAGAAAACGTTTTGTTTGGTTAAAAACAAAACAAACAAACAAAAAAACTTAATGCAAATTTGTCAAAATCCCGATAGGTTCTTAAAAGTTTTGGAGTTCTGTAAAAAACTTTTGGATCCCAGCTGAGCTTGCCTCCTACCTTTTCCAGCTGCAGGCCTCTGTTAGCTCTGTCAGAACAAAAGCATGACGTTGTGAAGTATGGCAAGCCAAGAGGGACAAAAAGCTAAAGGCAGGGGGAAAATGAAAGACCTAGCGTTCTTTGAAGGTACCATCGACCACGACCTGTGTAGGCTAAGACCATCTAATGTTGAGAAATAGCACTCACACTCAGTGGAAGACTCTCAGCTACTACCACATCAAATGTTGTTGAAATTTACTGAGTTGTTGACATTTTAGTGTTGGCTAATTTTGACATCTGTCCTAAATCAGATTGGCTTCAAAGATTAATCAGTTGTAGATGAAAATTTATTATTATTATTATTTTGAAATCTTTAACAATATCTGTTCAGTGGGTAATGAGACATTTTGCTAACAGACAACTTGTCTCCAATATTTAATGCTGTATAGTTTTAAACAAAGACMATGTGTGTGCTGTGAATGAATCTTGACTACAACAAAACCAAATTTTAACTCAGCGTCTGTATTATTAATCCCTGTATGGTTTGTTCTTTATATTTCTATTTTTATGTTTCAAAATAAAATGAGAAAAAATAGATTTTTCAAACCTTTATTTATTACAGGGAC